GGGGTCAAAGTCGTTCAAGGTCATTCAAGGTCAGTATCGATGATACAAATCTAAATATCTCGGATCACTACCAATCATTTGGTAGTCATCTTCAATGTCCCCCATAAAGAAAAATCGAGTGGATTTAAGTCCGGCGATCTAGCAGGTCAGCCTATTCGTGATCCTCGGCTAATCTGCTTATTACCAAATTTTCGGTCGACAGCATTGGGAGCTATCCGTGCAAAATGAGCTGGACAACCATCATGTTGATACCAGAGGTTTTGCCGATCCCACAAGGTTAGATCTTCAAGCAGCAGAGTTAACATTTCTTCCAGAAAAGCAGAAATAAAATATAAATTTGAAAATACCAAATGTTTTTTTTTCAACCATCTTATGGAGTACCTCAAGTCGGACAAAAAAGATTAGGGGGTCAAAGTCGTTCAAGGCTATTCAAGGTCAGTATCGATGATACAAATCTAAATATCTCGGATCACTACGGTAGTTTAACACATTTGGTATTTTCAAATTTATATTTTATTTCTGCTTTTCTGGAAGAAATGTTAACTCTGCTGCTTGAAGATCTAACCTTGTGGGATCGGCAAAACCTCTGGTATCAACATGATGGTTGTCCAGCTCATTTTGCACGGATAGCTCCCAATGCTGTCGACCGAAAATTTGGTAATAAGCAGATTAGCCGAGGATCACGAATAGGCTGACCTGCTAGATCGCCGGACTTAAATCCACTCGATTTTTCTTTATGGGGGACATTGAAGATGACTACCAAATGATTGGTAGTGATCCGAGATATTTAGATTTGTATCATCGATACTGACCTTTAAACTACCAATTCGATCCGCGATATTTAGATTTGTATCATCGATACTGACCTTGAATGACCTTGAACGACTTTGACCCCTGAATGTTTTTTATGCAGTTTGCGATGCTCTGCAAGATGGTTGAAAAAAAATGTACTGTACCATTTAAAAAAATGGAGGTGACCTTCACTGTGCATCAGCGCCGCCACCGAAATAAAAAAAAAATTGGTCGCATTTGATGACCCCCTTCGCACCGTACAACTTTTGTCTGAAATATTTTTTTGTGACGTCGATAATTACCGAGATATTTAAGGTGGCCAAGTTAGGTGAAACACCCGGTATATATATATATATTTCCAAGCAACCCTTTGATCTTTACTTTTTGTAACTATTGATCATCCCTTCGTATAAATTCTTTGGCATATGTGGGGATGAGTGACGCCATGATAAGGAGAGTTACCGTGTGATTAGAATATATTTTAACAGATGTCGTTTTCCCTAATAATCGTGGCTGAGTGTAAAGCAAACAGTGCCTTTATCTAGCAGTATCGCCATCCCCAACTCTTCTAACCCCCATCGTCGATATCACAAGAGCGGCAATCAATATATCTGAAATTGGAAAAAACGTTGAACCTAAATATTCAATAGTCGCGTCCGAAGCTTAATAATTGAAAAATCGACATAAAAATAAGTATTTTCTCAACAACGAACGCACATTATGACGTAGAAATTAAAATTTATAATACAAACCGATTTCAATCCATCATATGTTAATTTACTTGACTATGACCGGTCATGAACAGTGGTTCGCAGTGGTTGGCTAATAAAAAAATTACACAAGAAGTATCAAACAATTGAGAATCACTGTTAGCGTTAAAATTATAAACGAGACATTTCCATTTAATTCTCGAATTGAATAATGCCCGTATCAAACGATAACACATACTTGATAAAAAATAAGAGTTCTAAGAAATTATAAATTTTCACGATTCATTATCATCAGAGGTCTAGTAAATATCAAATAATACTCAAATCCCTCTTTCTATTAATATTTCCATATCAATCAGTCCACACGATATATCATATTATCACAAATAGGTGTTCCAAATGCAAAGAAAGAAAGTTCCCCACGTTCCCATCTATTTTTGAATAATTTCCCAAGTGCCATTTGTTCCACCACCTGATACAGATAACAGTATCAAAGGCTTAGGTACAGTCTATAACAATAGTAGTGTATGCCTATCTTTATCAAAATCTATACCCAGCCTTCAATCGCATTCATAACGAAATAAAATATTTGTCTAAAATTTTGAAAATAAATTAAGTCATCTTCAGCATCGTACAAAATTATTAAAAAAAGTCCCTTTGCCCGACCTCATTTCTCATTCTCGTACCAAAGTATTGAAACGAAGACTTTCGTAACCAGTATCCATCGGCACTATCAGTGCATTTCCACAAAAGAAATGTCTACCTCTCCAAACACTCTGTAGAACACGGTTCCTCACTTCTGTCCAGGTTAAGTCGGCTCCGACATTAGTAAAACCTAAGCGCGGCGTTTAAGCATCGGTTAAGCCGAAGGCTTTACAGAATGTCAGAAGCGTCGCGAGACTCGTAGGCAAGGGACTGCGGAAAGCGGCAAAGTGTTTATCGCAGTACAAACCTGAGATAAGGAACTCAAACAGAAACGCACATCGCGTGGCCCCTGCCTGGCCTACCCATAATATTCCACCGGACTTCCTCCCGATTATAGATACCAATATTTAAGTCGTTACCACGAATATTACTGTTAGATACTTTGAAATCTTTACTCAGGAACAACGAAGGTGACTTCGTCGAAGAATAAGACCAAGCGAAATACCACACTGAGCCAGATGAGAACGCGGCCGTCGTAATTCGTTTACAAAACCACGATAGCCGAGACTATGGATTCGATTCGTGACAAATATTATCCTCGAGCGATAGATACGTTTATTCATACGTTACGCACAATCTGCCATACGCGTACACGCATCGTTGACCTGGTACAATCAGTGCTAAAAATTCTAATCGTTGCTCCAGTTGTGCACGAAATTCTTCCGGAAAATCAAATACCAAACCACCGAACCAGAAATATCGAGTGAACAATGTTTTTTTTTACTTTTTTCTTTGTCTTTACAGATCTCTCTCTTACGTCGACAAAATTCCGAGCTGCAGAAAACCGTCGTGGAATTGAATTCGAAACCGCAGCAATCGGTAAGTTCTTCCGTATTTCGGCTAAACCTCCAGTTAAAACCACAAGAAGCAGTGTGAACTGACTTTAACAGTTCGCAAGGGTATTTATACTGTATAGGTACATTTAAATATGCACTTATGTATGCATTCATTGCGAATACAAGAAACTGGATATTAATTTTAAAACTAACTATCCTCTAAAACCATGCATTTACATAGAATTTACATGCGGCAGTAACCGTACCTGAAGCTGAGACTTTGCTGGGAATTGCGTGACCAATTACAATATCTTGCGTATATAGTCGTTCCTGTTTCTTAATAAAGCAAGCAAAAATGGCCAGTTTACTCTCATACAACTAGTAACTCTTGTATGTTGGGTAGCAGCTGATGGGACTGATGTAAAACACATTTCGTCATTTATGCGGGACCCACACAGTATTACTTGGGCTGATTCACGGGCTACAAAACAGATGCCATAATCCGTATATCGAGTTCTTTATCCGTATCGGTAAGGTGAAACAATCAAGTCACGAATATTTCACGTTATCACCGATAATAATAGTGACAAATAATTATTCTACTAATGAATGAAAAACATTTATCAAGATACGTATTCAAATATAACATTCTAAAATGTCACATTAATAGCTGACATTGAAGTGTCACTATCTTTTACTTAAATGTCAAACTGCATGTTCCCAGCCTTTCAGTATGCAATGCGAAACACCGCAGTTGCGTTATGGAGCTATGAACGATCTAAATAATAAAAAGAAAATCTTATTCTCAATTCCATAAGAAGAATCGACTGATAATTCAAATCAGTGTCTAAATAAGTTTTATCTTGTCCAAATATGATCTCTTAATTATACTCTTATATTTGTATATACATTCTATCTTATACAAGGGTTATTCACTTGAAACGCACCACCTGAAGTTAGCGGGCTTATTTGAGTCCTATGGCAAAACCATGTTCAGGTGGTGCGTTTGGGCTGAATAACCTGATAGACAAAAATATTGTACTGTGTCGTACAGCTTGAAAACTAATGATACCTCAATCAAATGCGATATACAACTAACTCAATCATATTCAGGTAATTGTTAACGGATATTGGATATTTTTATAAAATAATTTAATTCTTATTAATTGTGTATTACGAACTTGTCCCAGTTCCAAGTGAAATACTTCCCATGGATTCGCACCTTGGCAAACACTACCAAGGTACAGTCGCGTTAGATTGTCATGAAATTTTGATATTTTTATAAATTAATTTAATTCTTATTAATTGTGTATTATAAAGTTGTCCCAGTTCCAAGTGAAATACTTCCCATGGATTTGCACCTTGGCAAACAGTACCAGGTACAGTCGCGTTAGATTGTCATCGAGAAAGCACATGTAAGGAACATGTATATGAACCTCGCCTGAGGTGACATCAATTTCGTGTGTACCGTGGAAGGAACGTTGACTAGGAATGCGAGATAACAGATAGTACCTACTATTCCATATCTTGGACCAACAAAGGACGGGCCATAACGTTTACGGTCTTCGCTTCCATTCGTAACGTTTCAAACGCGAGTTTCACATCGGAATAATTTTTTTTTTATTTCATTTAGTCCCTGTTTGTCCTCGCTATACGTACGTAACTAATTCATGCTAACCCGAATGTGTTTGACACCTCATCAAGGGACCATTGTGGCCCAGACCACCGGATGTGGTCGTCAAGACCTCCACTACCTTACTTCTTGGCTTTTAATAGCTAATAAGATGTTAAACCTCCTAATCATTGTCTTGAATGCTTCAACGAGTTTTCGGAATGACTCGTAGGCCCAGCTAGTACGTTCATTGAAAATTCTGCTTTTTGTTTTTGTGTTACGAATGAATAACGGTAACTGGAAAAAAAATTTAATTCTGAAAACAAGTTTGATAAAACAAGATATGCAACACGGACGTGACCTGAAACAGTGTAAAAAACGAAGTTATGGTTATTAAAAAATGGTTGAGATGTTCATCAATGTGCATACGAGGTACAGACAAGCGTTCTTTACTTTCTGGAACATATGGGTGTATTAAGGAAAAGCGATTCAGTAATAAGGTTAAAAGTCGAGTCGAGCACGAAAGTATAAAAAGTACCTAATTTATATATGATTAAAAAATTTTAATAAAATCTTGGCTTTATTAAATCTTAACTGTAATTACCATAATTCACGTTAATGTTGCATCAGGTATACACTATATGTATATTATACACAGTTATACACTTCTTTGAAGACCGTATACCACGTTCATGAATATGCTTTAACTATAATTAATATATCTATATCTATACACCGTATTACTTGGTTCATCACGACGATTCCTAAAGGAAAAATCCTATAAGGCGTTTATCTGATCTCTTCTTCAAAATATCACGATCCAGATTCGTCACCGCACAATAGCTTTATGACGAAGGTGACACTCAGCCTTGCGTATCCAACAAAGCGTAAGTATGACTGTATTCCATAATTAGAATCTGGCTGTTTAATAATGAGCAAAGTGACACGGCGTCATTTGGTATCAGGTACGATGACGAATCACCGGATAGACATTTTACGTACAAAGGTACTTCGCTATGATTGACTAAAGAGTTCACGAAAACGACTTTGCCCGACGGATGAAAAATTATATTTATTCGTATATATTGTACGCGAAGTCCCTTGTTCGTTTACCAACGGGACTTCGTTCCTGTCTTTCTCATACCTCCTGCTCCATTCTCCCTCTCTCTCACTCTCGTCAAACATCCGAAGAGATCGGTCGAATTACTTTTACGGAAATGGCGTAGAAATAATGACGCGTTCCGTTTCTTTCTTTCGGCGCAACGTCGAATTTACATAACACGACAGCTTCGCGTTCGCGTTTCCGATATGAAGAAAGTCTCCCCGTCCTCTTCTTACGAAAGTCCCAATCGACGAGTTCACCAAGGGATACGCCGTGCAGAAGTGAAATTCGTCACTTTTCTGATGTATCGTGACCATAAACGAAATGAAAGGCATCCAACGTCGACCTCAAAAGATTGGCTATCGTCGTAACGTTATGGTTGCCGACGATTAGTTATAGTTACAAGGAAGGTTACACGGTTATGAAACAATGCATTTCTTTTTCTTTTTTTTTTTTTTTTTATCGAGGACAATCTTAATAGCATATACTTTTATACAATGACTGTATCGTAAGGTCTTCTTTTCTTTATTATACTCGGATTCTATTTGTTGCGTTTGAGTTTACCATTACTATGGGGTTTTTTGTCTATGCACAGTCAGTTTTTATTCCACCTTTGATAGGCATCCGCGATAACCGTTTTCTTCTGTACACATTAGAATCAGTCGTACAGTCGATACTTTCTGATGGTTTTTAATACAGGGGTTAAATCGATTCCATTTAGCAGCTGCGAATGGTTCACTGTTTTAGTTTCACTGATAAGACATTAACCCATGATAGGTCAGTCTGGCAGGGGCTAGTTACCGAGGGATGATAGTGACTATGACTACACCTTGTTCGATGGCTATAAATGCAGCCCGATCAAACGAGACTGTGCCTAGTGAACTGTTCGTCCTGTTCGTCGGCCTGTGGATTTTGTGCGAAGGTTCGTAAAATGGGTTGTTTATCAATAGAACATAGGCTTATCATTTGTGGTTGTTTGGTAAAAGAAATTTTCTTCGTAATAATCTAACGGGCAGACCTATATCGTCGTAACAAATTTTGCCTGTTCCACGCGACTCTCTTGGCTGAAATCTATTTCTTTTGTCGATCTGTAGAGAATTGATAATTTTACATGATTATGATACGACCGCAGGAACTACATAGGATAAAAGGTTAATTTCGACGATCCCAGTTTGCATAATGTCCCCAGCGACTATACCAGTTTCAAGTTTCGTTTCCTTCAGCTGCGCCCGCAGCGCCCGCGAACATAGGGGCTGATAAAAATGTCCTGTCGTTAAAAAAACACCTTGTGCACCTCGATATACCGAATACGACGGATAGTCGAGCAACTAGTACAATTGCATTATTCATGAACCATAGCCGTGTAACTGTCCGTCTGAACTATCTTGTACGATGTTTCAAGCCGAGCTTTTAAACCACCTTATACGAATCACAAGGATATTAGAATTTCTAGGATTCAAAAGAAAAACCTTGAAAACACAACCCTACGACTCCAGACACCAAATAAGTACTGTATTCATCCCGAGAGAATAATCTCACCCCGTTCATACGTCTTTATTAACTCTACAGACCTTAATCTCATCCAATACCCGATCCCCGATCATCCACTACCATATCAATCCCATTCGAAGACACCCACGACTTGCTGAATTCCAATAAAATAGTTGTAGCCAACATATAGAACTTTTATGAAAATAAGATTTATCCTGTTAAATATATTTTTTTTATATGTCAAACATGACTTGAAAATGTATATATAAGCATAACACACGAGTATCCATGTTCTTTGGTTCCACGTGCAATAGACTGATTCTATATACCATATATGCTGTATATGAATAAAACTGGCATATCATCTGCATATTGATACTTATGCTCGAGTACACTTTCGTTTGTCACGATTATCGCGATGCACTTGATGTTCTTCCTTCGGGTACTATCTTATGCCTACCTCGATTCAAATTTACCGGTGTTATAGTCTCTCACATTGGATGCACGTCTCCTCTACCTATATCCAAAGTCTCGCGTTGGCTTGTGTGTTGGTCAAGAGCGTGCCTCCATACGTGTATCCACCTCAAGCCGAGCAGTGGTAGGAGTTGTAACTGCACAGTCGCGTCTCGACAGTCGTTTAGTTCACGTCGTGTGTAACGCACCTTTAACCGCCGTAACCACACCGAAATTCAGTTTTTGGTGGAAGTATTGGCTCGACTGTTGGCACTGCGAGACTACCGATTGCATCACGTACCGCCACGAGGTTCAAGAATTTTGTTTCATCGTCTTATGGAGGAAAAACGACGATGACGGCAGGAGGGATTCGTTCGATTAACATGTAAGCAACTGAGATACTTACCGCAGTACTTGGATCTTAGGTATAATTGACAAAATCTTTTTATTCGTTAACCTTTATTTGAAACTCAACGCCGTTATGGAAATGCGTCAATGAAAATTAACTCGATTATTCGTATGAGCCTAGGCGAGACGCGGTACAATCATTCTCTTGCGGTTTACGCGTATCGTGGTGACTACTGATAATGACAATAGACGGAGACTGTGACGAAGGATATTCTTATTTCTTTACGTAAGTCTGAATTTCTTCTTTTTCTTCTTTTTAAATTTTTATATTTTTCTATGGAGTTTCGCTTATTGAATACATTTGAAAGACGGTACCTGATAAGACTCCTTGATGGTACGTCTCAGGATTTGCATAGTCTATAAGACGTTACGCCTTATTACAGTACAGAAATTGCGATATACATGCGTATAACTTTCCGTTACGATATAGGTATACCCGGTGGCTAGTGTATTTTGCAAATATTCGAAATGAAAAACATTCATACGATTTACGTCGATCTAATTCTTTGCTGCAATAGGAAACCTTGCGTATACTACAGCGTTGGATATGCGTTACCAATCTGAAAACCACCGTCTCCAATTATCCACTTCGCATTTCATTCGGAATGGCTCGTACCAAATTACCGATTGCTTTGGTACACCCTGTGTATAAGTACGTCTACCTATTTACGTCTCTGGATATGCCGGGGATGCATGCACAATGAGTTTTGACGTAAAATTTTTGTATCCACCAAGGCCGTCCAGAGAAAGAAAATCTTATACCATAGTTATCAAGGGGGTTGGAATCGAAGACCGTAAAAACTAGGTTTTTGGG